AAAAAAAATAGAACAGGTATTTGGAAAAACATTTTCAAATTTGAAAATATTTTTCGGAACATTTTATTTAAAATGTATTCTTTTATGTCTTTCAAGTCAATATTCTAAAATATATTTATAAATCTGCATGTATTTTCCAAACCACTCGTCCTAAAAAATATTAAAAATAAAAATAAGGTGATGTAGGAAACTTTATCGTTATTTTAATGGGAGATAATTTCGACTTTTATAATACGATAAGAAAAAAGGAAGTACATTAAAAGTAACCGTCATTAACGCATAATTTTTTATTTTTGTTCTTCTTGTATCTTTATTAATTGCACCCTGTATTGTATTAATAGAACATGATATATCATATCATCATTGTCATGAGGTGAATAAGAGAGATAGAACACACAGTGAAAAAAATAATTAGGTTAAAACATTTGAATGGTGCTTATATTTATTTGGTCTTTATTTTCTTAAATGTGTAATAAATAGATTATTTATGAACAAAAACAATTTAAAAATTACTGAGGTGCAATGTTTATTGAAGTACGTGATGCATTGTTTGCTTTAACATTTAAATTAAGTCCTAACATTGTTCGTCTTCATCTTCGAACATTGTCCAGTTAAGGTATGTCTTGTTGTTATTCGTTCAACACTTGCAATGGGGAAGAATGTAATAAAGAAATAAAGAAATGTGTGAACATGTGGAAAAAATAGAAAAAAGGGATAGTTGTGAAAGTCCGAAAAACTAATGAGTACAATTGTGTTGAAAATAAAAGAAAATGATGTTAAAAAGATAAAAATATCAAAAATAGAGAAATATGTTTTTATGTTGGAAAACTGGCTGAAGGTATTAATGAAGATGGTGTTTGTTATTTGTGTTTTAAAAGTAATTGTAATATTAATGTTGATGAAAGTTAAATGATTTATTGTAAAAAGTTTATGTAATGCATCAATTCCCCCATTTTTAAGAGGTGGTTAATCCCTCTGAGTAAGTGTCATATTTTTATTTTTATTCTTTAATCTTTTTAAATTTATGTAATATTAGAAGTTAGTAATTATTCTGGAAAATTCAACTGCTTATGAAAAAATTCACAATTTGCTTGTGCATTTCTCTAGTTTTAATTTCACACTTTAAAGAAAATTCACATGTTGCGAAAAAAACCACAACTCAATTGTGAAACTCGCTAGCATGCATTTTGTTTCTCTCAAGACAAATCCACAGGTTATGGAGTTCCCTGGTTTCAACTCTCCATCTTGGAGCAAAATCCATAAATTGTGGAAACTTACACAGCTAAGTTATGGGGTTCGACCTTCAATTTCTATCTGTTGTGGGATTTTGAGTTGGNTTAATCTTTTTAAATTTATGTAATATTAGAAGTTAGTAATTATTCTGGAAAATTCAACTGCTTATGAAAAAATTCACAATTTGCTTGTGCATTTCTCTAGTTTTAATTTCACACTTTAAAGAAAATTCACATGTTGCGAAAAAAACCACAACTCAATTGTGAAACTCGCTAGCATGCATTTTGTTTCTCTCAAGACAAATCCACAGGTTATGGAGTTCCCTGGTTTCAACTCTCCATCTTGGAGCAAAATCCATAAATTGTGGAAACTTACACAGCTAAGTTATGGGGTTCGACCTTCAATTTCTATCTGTTGTGGGATTTTGAGTTGGATTCACAACATGAGATTATTCTTGAGGAGGGTGGGGTGCATATGTTGGTGCCAATGGTGTAGTGTCTTGTGTTTGTGGTATTGTGGGCAAGTTTTTTGTTATGTCTAATTACGTTGCATACACCACATTTTTTTTTCTAAACCCTTCTTTTCATATTTCAGTATCATTCTTCTCTATCTCACATGCCTAAAGTCGTCTCTTTTTCTTAGGTCTTATTGTCATTATTCTTTTATTTTGGGGAAATATATTTGGATATAGTGTAATTTCTCACACGTGTTGACCATTGATAGGATAAATGATTGAATAATAGGTCTCTTCATATGTTATCCTCGTGAACAAATGGTCAATGAAGTCTTCTCCATCTAAATTAAGAAATTTCATTGCAGCAAGAGCGTCACAACAAAGAATTACACTAATGCTTCATTTTCTACACGTGTGGTCCATTTTATCAATATCAACGACAAATTGGTTCCTAAATTGAGATACATGCCTTACTTCAAATAATTTATTTGCTGACCATCTGTCATGTATACAAAGGTACAACACAGTTTTCATTACAATACTCATGATGTAAAAAGATGTTAATAGCTTTGATTAAAGTTACCTTGGTCCAACATTTGGTTAAGCTTGATTCCTTTTGAAGTTTATTTAGCACTTTGTGGCAAATAGAGTCTCGGTATGATGTCATCTCTGTCATGTTCGTAGCCTATCTTCTCATATTGTAAACCCTAATGTCCTTTAACATGCGAGGTTTAGACCTATTATGAACTATTACACTATTAAAACCCTCACACGTATTGTTCACAAGAGTGTCACACTGTGATCTAGGGATGAATCTAAGTAAAACCCGATTTAATGTATGTTAATGAGTACAAGTGTATAAAGTATGGACCACAAATGTATATTAGTATTTATTGTTACTTGTATGGAATAACAAACAAGTAGTTAAAGACATCCAAATTGGTCTCTTTAATGTTCCTTGTCTCACTCTCCCAATGTTGTGGATATGTAGCACTTGTTGCCCTCCACATGAGACATTCAAGATTTTTTTTTTCGGAATTTTCTGTCAAAAATCTGAATACAAATGTAGAACACAAAATCTTTGTTCTACTTGCAGCAAAAGTTCTTAAATGTTGATTTCGCGTTTCACGAATTGCACACCAACCACACCTCTAATTACACAGCTTAGGTGAAATGTTTAAGTTAAAGTAAAGATCCTAAAGAACCCTAATTGAGTTTTGGTTAAAACAAGCAAACTTTTAATCGCAGAAAAACAACCAAAAGTTTTATACACGTCGTGGCACACCGTTAAGTAGATCATACAAAAAATAATATAATTGGTGTTCAAGGATCAAATCCAATAATTTCATTAAGAAGAATGACAAAAATGAAGTAAAGTTTGGAAGATAGACTAAAACAAAAGACGTATAATAATTTAAGGAAAAAAAAATATTTAACAATTTTTTTAAGATTAAATACGTTTTTATTTTTAAGAACTTTGAAATAAAATTAGAATATATTTATATTTTAAACTTTTATACATTTTTGTTATCAAATTTTAAAATTAATGAATATTATTTTTTAAATTTAATTAATATAATTTAAGAGATTAAAAAATTATTTTAAAGGTTTGAAAATTTGACAAATTATATTTTTGTGACAAAATTCCGGAAATAAAAAAAAATACTTTACTATTTTTTATTATATTTCCCCGGGGAAAATCTAAATTATGTATAATTTAAAAACATTTCAAATTACATAATTTAATTTTTATATTAGATGCTATAATTCAAAATTTTAAAAATATTTTAAATTATACAATTAAAAACATTTTAAATTATATACATTTTGCATTATATAATTTAAAACATGTTTATAAATCCTTAAATATAGATTATATAATCACTACACTAAACAGATAAAGATATTTTTCCAAATGTTACAATCCAAAATTCTAAAGCAAAAATAATTTAAAAACCATAAATAACATAGGAAAGTGCTAGAAGAAAACATGAACGAAAAAATTGACTCAACAAGTGTACACAGTTTCTCAACCCTAAATTTTATTAATTGGTTAATATTTCATACTAATTATGTAGTTGGTTTTAAGTTTTTAATATTGATTCAAAATAAAACATAAATAAACGTAGAAGACTCGGTTCTCCAAAATTACCAAGTTCAAATCCTCTCCTCTACGGTCCACTGCACTCTCACAGCAGCATATTGAATATCCATCTCAGAGACGGAGCCTGGAGCTTGAAGCCTGAGCTGCTTCAACTATCTGAATTTCTGAACTCATCCATTCGTCAGCGCTGCTAGAATTAAAGTGAGATTTCTCTCTGTCAACTTTTTCCATGACCTGGATTTTCCACCGATCTACATTTCTCTTCGTTTTTCTTCTGAAGCGATATGCGATATGGAGACCGATAATTACTTTTGCCTGGTCATAAAGTCATTGTATTGATTCAAAACTAGCTAGACTTTTAAAACATTAGGTGTTTACCTCCAGTCTTCTTTCTCTTTTTGTAGTTGAAATTCTGTTGAATAGCATTTACCCCTTTCCAGATCTTATTTTCTTTTTTCCGCCGAGATATCCGGAGGCTGAAAAGTGAAAACTTCAACCTCTGCCCTTTTTGCCCACCTTACACCTTTTGCTTGACTACATTACAAAGGCTCGAGGTCTGAGAGCTCTAGATGAAACCTCAATTTGTAATTAAAAGGCTAGTTAGTTTATATTTGCTTCTGCTGGTGTTCAGCAATCAAGAGAATGATTATTGGCCACTTTGGTTATTACGTGCTTGATTTGTGCATTTCCTTATGATCTAGATTGTTAAATACTCGGTGCTTTTGCTTGATAATTACTGAATATTTGATTTTCCCCCCTATTATTATTGTTGTTATTATTATTATTATTATTATTATTATTATTATTATCATCATTATTATGTTTCTTGACTATCATTGTTTGTGGTAATTATAGATTGTTTAATGGAAAGTGGAGGGAACTCCCTTCCGTCAGGGCCAGATGGTGTGAAGAGAAAGGTTTCATATTTCTATGATCCAGAGGTTGGAAACTATTATTATGGGCAGGGGCACCCAATGAAACCACATAGAATTCGAATGACGCATGCTCTTTTAGCCCACTATGGATTGCTTCAACACATGCAGGTTCTGAAGCCTACTGCTGCCAAAGATAGGGACCTCTGCAAGTTCCATGCTGATGATTATGTGGCCTTTTTGAGAGGCATCACCCCTGAAACACAGCAAGATCAATTAAGACAATTGAAGAGGTTTAATGTTGGTGAAGACTGCCCTGTATTTGATGGTCTTTACTCTTTCTGCCAGACATATGCAGGAGGCTCTGTTGGTGGTGCTCTAAAATTGAACCATGGAGTATGCGATATTGCAATAAATTGGGCTGGTGGTCTGCATCATGCAAAGAAGTGTGAGGCTTCTGGGTTTTGCTATGTTAATGACATTGTGCTGGCTATTTTGGAACTTCTCAAAATACATGAGGTTTCCCAAATTTAATTTCCCACATTATATCATTGATTTATGACTGTTCTCATTTTAATTCAGGTTGAATTTATTCCTTATATGACCAACAATTGTAATTGATTTCAAAACTGGAACTGTAATTTAGAATAAAGAAGTGAATACGTTCTAGAGAACAATGGTTATGCAGATGGGTTACAATAGCCTAGTGGTTTGTGGTAGTTAGTAAGGGAAGTATATAGATACTATTACACTCATGAGTAGGATTTCTTTTTTGGATCTTTTGTAATTAACTATTCTATAGTTGGAAATGGAACTATTCCCTTGGCAGAGAAATACCATAGTTTGTTTCTTTGATTTCTATCTCTTTCCTTTATCTCTCAATTTTTCATTACACTTTGAGGGCCTATCAGTTGGTCTGACTTGCCTTGTTTTGAGTCTGGTCAGTGTGACTAGTAACTGTGGAAGCTAGGGTGGACTCTTTGATGAAGTTCCTCAGAAGTTGGTGTTGCAACTTGCTCGTATGGAGGAAATCAAGAAGTTCCTCGCACAGCTATTGGAAAAAAAAGTATTGAGTGGACAAATGATAATGATGACGGTGTGGAAGATCAAATTAACTGTTTTTGGATGCGCGCCGCTGAAGACAATCTCACATCACACTAAAGCTAGTACATAAAGCTTCCACATGTTGAAGATGATGCATAAATATGAAATATGCATTTTATTAATCACACAATAAAGCCCAAAGAACCAAGTGGAATTGTAGGTGAGAAAATTTTCTCCAAGGTCAATGAAAAGAGTCTCCTCGAATAAAAGAGGTTGTCTTTGAAAGGGATGACCTGATAGGCTGATCGGGAGGATTGCAGGAGTGGAGAAATTTTTTAGGTTCAAAGCTTCTCATTGACACATCATACTTCTGACCCATAGAAATACTTAGTATATGTTTTCTTTTTATTCCTAATTTTATGTAGGAGATAGTGACTAATGAATTGTGTGCATGTGCACTGGACATGCCCAAATCGAGCTGTCATAATATTTGTTAGAAATTTTCTTTTTGCAGTTAGGAAACTGTAATCGACTTGAGCATTATCACAGCCAGTTGGGCAATGAAATTGAGATATCACCATTTTAGTAAATTTATATTTTCTCTTACTGTTCGCTGCAATCAATTATTCTGCTCCTTGCAACTAAATCCATTATGACATTGGAATCCCTGTTCTGAGTTAGGATTATTCTCAGGTTACTCTCTGGATATCCAAATAGTCCCATTTGGTATCATAGAGACAGGTGGATTCATCAGCAATGGCTGTTATGACCTGAAGTCACATTACAATAGTTGAGCTCTAGAAGAAACAAGAATTTAATGATTTATTAGGGAAAATTAGTGAGTATGACCTGTTTGGATCATCTAGATGCAGGAATGGAAGAATCAAGAGCTTATTACAGGCCCAATCTTCCTAGAACCACCATTATGATTTCTCCACCAACAATCCCCATTTTGGCAATCGAAATGAAACCGATGACTCCTGCTCTACTTACATCTCTTAGGTGGAATTCTGGTTTGATGGTAAGGATATGGAATAATGGTTGTGTAAGTACATTCAGTTTTTTTTCTCTGGATGGCACAGTGTAAGCTTGCAAGGTTCGTTTAGCCTTTATACACCTCAATAGAGTTTCCTACAGTGGCATCTGAACTATATGTGTAGCAAATTTGGTATCCACCCTCCCTGGTCTGCATACATTGCCGATGTAGCTCAATGATTCGACAAAGTTTATAATGACCTGCTAACTCTAATTAAAGTCAAATGCAAAGGCAGGCTACATGAATATGTGGATGATTTCAAGCTTGCCTGAACTCAGGTAGCCCTTCTTCCTGAACAGGCCTTGAGCATATTCTTGGCTGGATTGGAACATGAAACCCAAAGTGACAATCAGGATGTTCAACCCCAACTCTATTGCTCCTGCAACTCAACTTGTGAAATTGCATGAAGCTTCCAAAGCTTCTATCAATAAGCACGACATCAGCAACCATGTCCCTCCTGCTAAATTCACTTATTCCCCTCCTAAACCTCATTTTTCCATAATTCCATTAGTTGAAACATAAGATATCTCAAGTTTTAGTGCTGCAGTTGGCTGAGGAATACCCTACTGCAGAAGCTGGAAAGGTAAACCTGTGAAATGCTACGACAGGAATACCCATTGCTGTCGAGACTCCTCAATTTTCTGTGAATGCTACGACAGGAAATTCTAGTTTTTGCTCCATGAAAGTAACTGGCCTTCACAAGCTTTCAGCATTGGCAGATTGCCACAACCATAGAACATCAAACAACTAGGAGACTTTTTCAGTTTTGTTGGCTATTATCAAATATTTGTCTCTACTTTTGGCAAAATTGCTAAGCCTTCAATTGACATGCTTAAGATGGGGGGATTTACTGGTCTAAGGAGCAACCATTGGGTTATTTTCTTGGAGGTCTTCATTCAAGATTAATATTCATTATCTCATCGACATTTCAATGGCCATTGAGTTAGCCTTTAAGTTGGAGTCTTGGAGGAAGATTTCAAGCTGGGTGGGGAGCTACATGATTTTAAGAAAATTATTTTTCTTATTCTTTTAATTATTGGTTGCCATCAAACATCAATTTTTTAATGAAAACTAGTTTTTGTAGTTGTTGTTATAGGTTCTTCTTAGTTAGGAGAAAATATTGTGTTGAGTTACAAGAAGATATTGTAATCATTACAAGTGTGGTACTGGAAGATTCTAGAGATCTTTGTAATCATTACTCTATGGGGTAAAGTTCTCTCCATATATATGCTCATGTACTGTTCTTAAATACAATTTCAATAATGATCTCTTTCCTCTCATATAGCTAACCCTTTTAAATTGGTTCTAGTGGCACCGGGAGCGAAGCGACTCTTTGGGTGAATAAAAGTGATTGTTGGGTGCAATAAAGGCCTACAAATGTGTTGGATCTTGCTATGGAGTTTCTTTTCATAATGTTATAGAAACTGTATTTGAAGACTTAAGGATGATGAAGTTTGCAGAGATAACAAAGATAACACCGTATATTTCTTTCAATGGAAAGTATTACAGAAAACAATAACTCTGGCTCTTCGAGGGTCTAATATCCGCCCACATATATTTTCTTTTCCCTTCCCTTATTCTCTAGACCCCAAAAGTATTTATACAAACCTCTCTTATTCATGAACTAACTCTACTGACATGGTAACTGACTCCCAACTACTTGTACTTGCATCAAATAGCTTTATTCCCATTTCCTTTATTTCTTCTCCCATAAACCTTTGCAATAGGAGGCTTTCCAATCAGTAACTGCTTCCAAAATCTCTTGCTGACTAACATCATTTATTCTGCAATCTAACACAACTTTTGGAATGAAATTCAACTCATGACCTTCAGTTAATACTTCAGGCAGGGGTTGAGACTTTTGTGTAGGTTGTATAACTTTTTTCAAGAGTGCACATAGAATACTTGATGAATTTTAGATTGAGGTGGAAGCTCCAGCCGGTATGCAACTGCCCCTACCTTAGCTAGAATTTTCTAAGGACCATAATAGCACGGACTCAACTTCTTGTTCAACTTTTTAGCCAATGATCTCATCTTATACGGTTGTAGTTTGAGATACACCCAATCTCCCACCTCTAACTGAACCTCTCGTTACTCTTTTAACAATGTGTCTTGTTGGGGAGTAAGTTGATTAATTTCCTGAACTCAAGAAGGAATAGTGTTTCCTCGTAGCAAGGGAGGAGGTTCTTGACCATAAATTGCTCTAAAAGGAGACATTCATGTAGATGCAGTATAATTTGTGTTGAACCAAAGATTTGCTCAAGATAAGTGTTAAGGCCACTGCCTTTGCTTTGTACTTGTTAGATATTGTAAGCAAACTTTCAAGCACCCATTGACAACCTTAGTTTGTGGATGATAAGCTGTGTTCATGCGAAGCCGAGTTCCTATTAGCCTTAACATTTAGTTCCGAAAACTACTCATGAAAAGTTGGTCTCGTTTTGAAACAATTGTAACTAGAAATACATGTAGACGAACCACCTACTTGATAAACAATTATGCAATAGTCTTTGCTGAAAAAGGGTGTGATAATGCAAAGAAATGAGCATTTGTTTTTAGATGATACACAAGCACTAGAACAAAACATTTTTCCTTGAGCCTTAGGAAGGCCACCTATAAAATCTATTGGTATGTCAGCCCTACTTTTATGTGGAACCAGAAGAGGTTGTAACATCCTGCTGGAGACAACATACTGGACTTATTTTCACTGGTTGATATCACAAGAAGCTACATACTCTTTAATATCAGTCCTCATTCGCACCCAATAAATAAATCCTACTATTCATTTATATTTTCAAAAAAACCCCGAGTGCCCTCCAACATGAGTCATAAAATCCCACTAAAAGTCATTTTTCTTCAATAAAGAGTTTAAGGGTTTGGCTAGCTTATCGTAGTCTTTCACAAAGTGTCTATAATACCCGGTAAGACTAAAGAATCCTCTCAAACCTTTTATATTTTTTGGTGTGGGTCACAACCACATTGCTTCTAGCTTCTTTGGGTTCCCTGCCATGTCATCAATAGAGATAATGTGTTTGAGATATTCCATACTAGTTTGCCCAAAAATACACTTGTTTTTGTTTACTCTCAGCTCATGTTGTAACAGTACCTCCAACCTGCCTGTAGGTGTTGAATATGTTCTTCTTGATTGGGACTAAAAATGAGAATATCATAAAAAAAACTAATACAAACTTTCTCAGAAAAGGTTTAAACGCCTCATTCATCAATGATTGGAAAGTTGAAGGAGCATTTGTCAATCCAAATGGCATAACCCCGAATCCATAATGCCCTTCACTAGTTTGAAAAATTATTTTCTCAATATCTTCTTCGTGCATTCTTATTTGATGATAGCCCAATTTAAGATCCAACACAGAAAAAGGGGTGACTCCCCCAATCTCATCAAATAACTCCTCCATAACTGGAATTGGAAACTTATTGGGTATTGTAGTTTTATTCAGGGCTCTATAATGAACACAAAACTGCCATCCTCCCATCTTTTTTCTTGACTAAAATAATAAGACTAGCACAAGGACTAACACTTTGGTGAATGATGCCTGCTCCCAGCATCTCTATCACCAAATTTTCAATCCGTCTTCTGGTAGTGGGGATATTTGTATGGCCTACTCTATGGTATTTGAGAGTCTGCTTTTAGAAGAATTGCATGATCTTGCTTCCTTCGAGGAGGCAGAGTACCCGGAGCTTCAAAAACATGTGTATTAGTTGGGTTTGCAGGTGTCTACAACAAACATGCATTTGGTTAAATTGAGAGATGGATTTGACTAGCAAACACAAGGATGCTACAATGATCTCCACCCTAGTCTAGGAGTGTGTTGTCTAAATTCTTTTGGGTCTTTGAATTAGGATGAGTCAATTTGATTATGGGAGTGGCTTGGTTGGCTACCTTGGGAAGGTTTTGGCTAATTTGAGTAATTCCAACATGTCATTCATGCATAATGATGTAGTAGTCCTGGAGACCCAGAGTTAGCTAATCCTCTTCTGTAGTGACTTTTCACAAATTAATAGAGGTAGAATATACTTCATTGCTTTGATTTTTTCTATTAACTAGTGTGGAGATACCTAATAAGGAGAATAGTGAATGGTGGGGAGTTAGACATGATTGCTCGGTAACAATTATTATACAACGGTTATTTGATAATTTTTTTGTTGTGCTCTCTCTCCAAAGGGGTTTCCACCCAATAAAGCAATGAATCATTGTATTCCACTCAAATCTGGTGCTAACTTGGTTAATGTGAGGCCATATTGGTACACTGCGTACAAAAAAAAAATGAGATTTGAAAAATTGATTGAAGAAATGCTGGAGTCTGGATCATTCAACCTGGTTGTAATCCTTTTCCTAGTCCAGTTATTTTGATCGAGAAAAAGTAAAGGAGTGGGGGGCTTTGGTGGATTACAGAGTCCTAAATAAAGCCACAGTAATAAGTCCCTGACAAATACCCAATTCCTATGATTGAGAGTTATTGCATGAATTACAAGGGACAGCTATCTTTTCCAAGATTGTTCTACGAGCTTTTAATGCTCACCCATGCCACTTTAAGTTCTTGGTTTTACCTTCTGGGTTAACTTATGCACCGACCGCATTTAAGTGTGCAATGAGTTCTATTCTCCATAGAAAACAATGTGTTGTACAATGGCTCGTACCCAAAGATCAGGCAGTGAAGGGTTCTTCTAATGGTTTAATTTAAGGTTTTTGGTTTATTGGTTCCTTCAATATGCTTAATACATATTATTATCTAATGAGCTCTTTTTTCTTTTCATGAACTGTAATTGCTGGATGTTTTTAACTCAAAAAAGTAGAGTGTCTTGCAGACTTGTGCTCTGGTGTTCTCAAAGACCTAGAGATGAATTCAAATTAAGCAGGCAATTGTTTTGAATGTTTTCTTTTCATGTTACTTATTTCAACAAACTGAGTTGTATTTCATATAAATTTTCCTACTTTTATGTCAGCATTTGATGTGAATCTTTTCCTTTTCCTGTCCTTGAGAACAATGTTTGAGCTAGAGCTTCCCTTCTATTTTTGAAGGGGATTTAATGTGCGTTTTTCTTTTACTTTAATGAGGCAGACATTGTTTATTGCCTTCATATGTCTGGTTGCATTAGAACTTGTTTAAGATGCGGGTTACCAGTGACATTGCCTTCTGCATTCCTATCAATGTTAAATGTTTTGTAATGAATATTTTTTCCTAAGTGCTCTATCATAGTAATCTGCATTCTCTTTATCATGTGCAGCGTGTTCTATACGTGGACATTGATATCCATCATGGTGATGGTGTAGAGGAGGCCTTTTACACCACTGATAGGGTCATGACTGTTTCATTTCACAAGTTCGGTGATTACTTTCCTGGAACAGGTGATATTCGTGATACTGGATATGGTAAAGGGAAATATTATTCACTTAATGTTCCCTTGGATGATGGAATCGATGATGATAGCTATCAGTCCTTGTTTAAGCCAATAATGGGAAAGGTTATGGAAATTTTTAGGCCTGGTGCTGTTGTATTACAATGTGGTGCTGACTCTTTATCTGGAGACAGATTAGGTTGTTTCAATCTTTCCATAAAAGGGCATGCTGAGTGTGTCAGATATATGAGATCTTTTAATGTTCCCCTTCTATTGCTTGGGGGAGGTGGCTATACAATAAGAAATGTGGCACGCTGCTGGTGTTACGAGGTATTGTGTTGTGTGATTTTTCTTGAACTTTTTCTGGTTGAATTATCTTATTGTCTGTCTCGTTTAAAAGGATGAATATGGATGCCTGATAATTATGTTCCCAGTAGTAATTTGATTTTGGATCTCTGCAATGGACATGAATACGGGTACAAAAGTTTCAATGAAGAAATCACAATAGTTCGACTGATACACTTTTTCTCGTGTGAAAAAGCTCTTTGGTGCACACAACTCAAAGCACTGGTTCAGATTTAGTTGTATAGCATTATTGAAAAAGGTTACTGAAAATATCTAAAGATTAACACTTTGTTCACTTGAATGGATTTGGGAGAGAGAGATTGAATGAATTTGAGAGGATTTAAAGGTAAATTTTTTGATGTTTATTTGAGTGGATTTAGAGGTAAGTGAGAGTGGATTTGTAAGTAAATTTTTTTAATTTGTCACATCAATCAAATCTTACACTAATTTTCACAAACTTTACTTCCAAATCCACTCCCACTTACTTCCAAATCCACTCAATTAAACAACAAAAAGTTTAACCTTCAAATCCTCTCAAATTCATTCAATCACTTTCTTCCAAATCCATTCAAGTGTATAAAGCCTAAAAGTTGAGGTATGCCTGCCTATTTTTTTTTGCTTTTAGCAGTCCTGTTGAAACCAAGTATATGAGAATCAGTATTTGCACTATGCAGTGTTGATTTGATCTGTACACCTGATATTTGTGCCAAGTAAAAGTACTCTATTTTTTAAGCAGATAGTGTTCACTGATTAACAAATTTCTATTGGTTGTTGATCAGACTAGCGTTGCTCTTGGGATTGAACTAGACGATAAGATGCCTCAACATGAGTATTATGAATATTTTGGTCCTGATTACACTCTTCATGTTGCTCCAAGTAACATGGAAAACAAGAACTCTCGCCATTTATTGGATGAAATAAGAGCAAAACTTCTTGATAATTTATCTAGGCTTCAACATGCACCAAGTGTCCCATTCCAGGAGCGACCACCTGATTCAGAGCTACAAGAGGTTGGTTTTGTATCTATTGAGAAATATAATACACTTTTTTTCAAACTCTTTATTTTATGATCTCTTAATCATTATTGAACTAGTTGCCTAGTTCCCTCATAGATATGTATTTGAATATCCTTTGGCATGTAAATATGATTGAGTAGGACCATATCACGGTTCAAATTCTGCTACTATGTTCAGGAAATAGTTATTTCTCTCTCATTGCTTAGATTTATTGCATCCTAGTGGAGTTACTACTCTTAACTTTTTCCCAATATCCAAACTGCAAAGGTTGCATTTGAAACGGAAAGATCTGCAGATTTTTTTAATTTATTTTAGACAGCTTATTTTCAAAAATCCACCATCACAAAACTTGTTAAAAACGTGGCTACTCTGTAAACATGTTTCAGAAAAGCAGTTATCACGTCTCAAGTTGAAGTCAGAAATTTGTCTTAGAGCATTGAATATTATATATTGAAGAAAAAACGTGTTCATTAACACGTACGAGCATGCTCATATGATCCGTCATACTTTTTTCTCAGAGATTTGTTTGTCATTTACCATTATTGTATTGACAAAGTGCTTGAGTAAATATTGAGAATTACTTACTATTCATATCCAGAGAGATGAGAATCAAGACGATAGAGATGAAAGATGGGATCCAGATTCTGATATGGAGGTTGATGATGACAGGTATTTTCTTGTGCTTCTGTTGCCCATCTTGATAGTGTCTTTTGAGGTCCTTTAATTGATCTGTTTTCTTTACAGCAAACCTCGCAGAAGGGTGAAAAGTGAACGTGTTGAAGCTGAGCATAAAGATGCAGTATGTCCCGACCTGTTTTCTTTGTACTTGCTACATTGGAATAATCTTTTAAATATTACTGAAATCAAATGAACTAGGCATCAGAATGAGTAAAAAGTACATTATAGTGAATTTAATGAAAATTATATTTCAATTCAATTCTGAGTATAATTTTATTTTTTACGTGACGTGTCATTTTAACAAATTACAATATATTTTATTACATTCTCAATTGGATTCCTTTCATTATTTATTTTCCCAGTGATTGGGTTCAGGTTATGACACTTGTGTCTCCTTATTCATATTGCTAAATGACGGGCTTGTGCAGTGATTTTTCTTGTTTTAGTTTTAAGATGAATTAATTACTTTTAAGTGACAATTAAGAGCATATTTTAAATTTCAGGAAAGTTATCATAAACATCTGGACTGTGGAAGAGATTTTCTCACGCCTTTCAAGGAGATTGCATGCTCCAAGGTTGAATGTTTTGGCCTTCATATACTAAAATTTCTCATTTTGATCACACCACGGGTGTTAAAATTGCATCTTTTCAGGTGTCGGCGGGGGACTCAATGGCAGTGGATGAACCATGCATCAAAGAGGAGCAGGATAATTTAAAAGAGCTTTCTGATCACAGGTCAAGATGAAGCACTAGTAGGAATTGGTCAACCCTTCTCCCCCACTAGTGTATGTTGACCTGTAAAGTAAATTATAGTTTCCTCTTACGGCAGTTTGGTTCATTCACGTGATGTCTCTGTAGTGTTTCAAATTTTTGGTTTATCTGGAAACTGAAGAGATATAATGCAAACTTTGCCTTGGCTTTTGATGTCTAATATTACTACAAGATAAAGCTCTGTTGCCACAACTGGTTGTAGTTTATTTTTTCTGTATGTTTTACTATGGTAGGCTTTTTATCAAAATATCTAGTATGAGGAGCAGCCCATCCTTGGATCCATGAGATGAAATATAAAGATTCTTGTGTTGCTTGCAAAAGGGAAGAAGCAAACACATTCTTTAACCATAACTCTAGGTTGTCATTTGTCAATAACCACAGATAGTTCAAGGAGACCATCGCTTCTCAGTTCAGTGGTGCGGGCATTGCAGCCGCTATTCCGGAGTGGTGGAGCGGGTCCTGATGTTATTTCAAAATCAATTGAGAGATACATTGACGTTTCAGAAGTGGTAATTAGTGGGTTCTTTGCGAGTCTTAATTCTGTATCAGGCCCTATAGAAAGGAAAAACCCCTCTACCCTTCATTCTTCTCCAAGCTCCGTTTTTGTCGGAGATCCACTGCGTTTTTCAGTAACCCCTTTGTCTTCCATTCTTGCTGTTTTAAATTTTTGTTGTGCTCAGTTTTTTGTTTTCCCTTTTATTCTACATCTTTAACCTCTATTTTACTCTCCACTCTCCTTTTCTTTAATGTATGTTTATCGAAAATACGAGTAGTATGATAGGATACAATTCATACCCTCCACAAAACAAATAATATGAAGGTTTTAGTTCTTGAATCGTGTTCGAACGATACAGGTGCCAACCGCGAGCCAAATCACGATATGGGTCATCATGACCACTGAATTGGGTTGGTCTTCCAATTTTTTCTTAAAATTCTAATTTTTTTTTATCTATACCTTTTTTGCTTAATACAAGATCGTTTCTATCACATTTTGGTCTCTTGTTTTCTCATTCTCGTCTTCCCTCTCTCATCTCATTTCCTCTCAGCATTATCAACTCTCATCTCATTTCCTCTCAGCATTATTACCAAGCTCTGTGGTGCAACATTGTTGGAGGTTGTGCAGTAGAAGTGTCAACTTCGTTGCAGGTTGTGTGGTGGTGGTGCAACGTTGATGGAGGTCAGTGCGACATCATTGGTGGTGGAGTTTTGCCTGGAGGCTCTATTTTATACCGGGAGGTTCTATTTTGTGCACGTTTGGTGGATGATACTTAAGAAATGAGTAAATAAAATATTAAATATATATATATATATATATATATTATATTTAAGTATACATTACATTTTTTTAATATTTATGAATATTACTATTTTTTTATGTTTATAGATCTTACTATTCACCAATTCAGAATTCAAACTATTTAAAACTATTCGCTATTCAATTATCATGTTCTACTAGTTTACCCATTCATTTTTCTCCCATTTTCCATTTCTTTCTTTAAATAACCAGTCAATTTTTTCCATTTTCCTTTTCTTTACAAAAGGGAGATGAACTTTATCTTTCGTTTAGGTAGAGTTTGTATTATTAACAAAATAAGAAATAGAAAATTCCATAGGTAGATGCTTTATAAAAAAAAAATAATCAGCGTATCACAATAAATAATTATAAATGAAATTTAGCACAATAGAAATACCCACACACAAACACAGGTGTTTAAAGCCATGTGGGTTTTGCTTTTGTCCTCTAATTTTCTCTCTCTTGGGCATGTTTATTGAAATCATACTTTTTAGTGATTCAACGTGAAAAAAAAATACTATTTAATGATTGAATGAGGATTGTTGGATTGCATAATTTGAAAATTTATTGTATAAGTCTATGTTTTAAAATCCAAAAATGTATTTCATATCTATTGTAAAATACGAAATATGTTTCTGGATACAAAAAATCTCATATTACACAATTCAAAAAATATTTTAAATTGTTCAATTCATTATGTTTTTAAAGTATGTAATATAGAAATGTGTTTCAAAATGTGTAATACAAAAATCCAAAATATTCTTTTGAATTTGAAAAGTATTCTAATTATGTAATCTGAAATACCAGATTACACCATCACAATCCAAATATATTTTGAAACCTGAAAATATATTTGAAATTATGTAATTCATAATATATTTTTAGATCTGTTCAGATTATACACTTGAGTCGTGTCCTAGAATTACATAATCATAAAATCTAATGCCTAGACATTTTTAACTTTTCCAACACCCTTTACAAGATGCAGAAACCATGGGTGCAAAATACGCTATTGTTCTCGTAGTTTTTTTTTTGGTCTAGCTATTGTAAATGTCCAAGAGCTATCGTTCGAATCATGCAATTCTAGTAGTGAAAAATAACAATCTTAACAGTTTACACCGCTTTTGTTGTCCTGCTCTGCCCTCACAACAAATGAAAAGAAAAATGCACAAATCTCAAACTCAGTAACCAATCCGAAAGCCTCAAAAATTGACAAAGAAAAAAAGAGAAAAGTGACAATCACATTCTCAGTACGTACTTCCAGTTACTAAGCTTTCGTATATCTGATTATCAATCCCCAAATCCTCTTTCAACCATTATTCAGTCTATAGATGAAGTGACAGACCTAGTTCTCCCAGTTGCTTCTGGTCAAGATATGATACATGATCCATCGAAATTAAATGTCTTCCTAGATCAACTAAGTCTTTCGCCTCAATTTTGTACGTCGATTGAAGTTTTTCAGCTTCACGGTCTGCTGCCTCGGCTTCAGTAGTAAGGAGATTCGCTTCTTCTATATCACCCATTTTTAGTGCGCCAGCCTTTTCAGCTCTAGCAGTAGCAGATGCCAAACGTAGCTTCTGGTATCTGACCATTGCCAACTCTTTCTCCTTTAATAAAATCACTCCCTCAGTCTCCTGTAATTTATTAAGGGTTTCTTTGATTTCTTCTTCAAGCTTCTCAAGATTTAATGTAGACTTGTCCATGTCTATCTGGATGCTCTCTTTTTCAACACACAGTGACTTTGCCTCGGTAGCTATTCGAGCCGCCTCCTTGAAATTTCTTGCAGCAGTAGCAACTTTCTTTTCTGCTTCTAGTTCTGGGACTCTTTTATCAATGAAAATAATCCTCTGCTTGAAGGATGCTATCTCTTGCTGGATGCTTGACTTTCTTGAAGATAGTTCCTAAAAACAGTGTAGTGAAATTTGTGAACAAAAACTACCAAAATAATTTTCTTTATCTGGAAAATAAGTGACTTGGTTGTGTAGCTTTTGAATTTGATTACTTATGGAGTGGGACTATTTATTATATATTGAAGCAACTTGACTTGTGCACAACTTCAAATTTAAGGTTATTAGGTAGTACACAGGAGGCAGGCATACACATTGGGAGTCTATGATCATCCATCACATCTCAGCTATATATATACACACACAATTTTAAACACAAAAATCAGGATTAACCTGCAAGGAAGCTCTAGCGGCAGAAACCTCCTCTTGAAACAATTTGACATCTCCAGAAAGCTTTTCCTCGTTCTCTGCAAGTGTCAGTTTGTCCCCCCTGGACTTCAATATAGATGACATCAAACTTCTTCTCAGTTTAACTGTTTCACGGTATCCCTCAGCTTCCTCTGAAGAAATACTAGCAAAATTCCTAAGTCTTGCTCCCATTTCTTCTTCCTGTGTGAGAGAGTTATCAATCTCCCCCTTCTTTAGAGTCAAAGTTTCAGTTTCTAATTTCACATGCGCAAGGGCAGACTGCAATTTGTCATACTTGACATTAATGCTTAACTGCATCTCTTCAAATCCAGAGAGAACTTTATTTATCTTATTTTCTACAGCTTCTAAATTAGAGTCATTGTCTGCTATCTCCTTCTCTTTCTGTTTAACTAAAGCAAGAAGTTGATCCAATTCACCCATCAACACATCCTTTCTTTTACAAAGAATCTCTTTTTCTCTTTTGTCATCCTGGATTGAATGCTCAATGGAATTATTCAATTCTAAACGAGCTTCATTCATAAATTGTGCTTCAATCTCCAATTCCATCTTTTTAACCTCCATAGCTTCAGATGATGAAAGCCATTGGTCCATTTCTTTTGAAAAAACTGATGTTGCTTTCTTCAGGATAGAATCTGCATTATTTAAAGCGTTCTAGAAAAAAGAGGAAAACAGTCACATCAGAAATGTTAACCATGATTGATTTGTAAGGGGATGTCAACGAATGAGTAATCAATTGTCTCGTGTTACCAGAGGATGAAACTTTAGAATTTGTAACATTTGATTTGATTGATGGATTGGTGTTAAGTTACAATGAAATGCAAAAAGCTGTAAACTAGACAAAATTCATTTCACCTACGCTTGGTCAACCTTCCGCCTGAACTTATTATATAAACGATGTAAGGGAAGAAAAAAAGTGAGGAAAGAAATGACAGTTATGAAACTGCAGTATGTATTAGATAAGAGTAAACTAGTAAAGAATGTATATTTAACTAACCTTTGCATAATGGTCGAGCAGGATAGCGCATTGTTCCTCGGCAACTAACTGAGATTCAAGGGCATGCTGCAATTTTAAATCTAATGCGTCGACAAAAGCATCGGCTTCTCTCAAAGAATTGATGTAAGTCAGTTTCTCCTTTTCGGCAACAGAAAGCTTTTCGCTAACCTTTTCGGCCCTTTCGAAATCTTCAGCTTCGCAGGCTTCTTCCAATTGCTTTTCGAGTTCCATGTATCTTAGCGAAGCAAGATTGGCATTCTCAACGATTTTTCTTCTATTTCTGATGGAATCCTTTCGAGCAGAAGAAGCATTTTTTACCAGTTGACTGGCAAGGTTAAGCTTCTCACGTATGGTGGCCTTGATTTGCTCAAACTCTGCCTCAGGAAAAGCCGATGCATGTTGTTGATTCAAATTATCATTCCCTGATATGGAGGAAGATTCAGCAGATGGTTCTTCCTCAGGAAAAACTGAAACACGGTGTTGTTTCCGATTCTCATTCTCTGATTTGGAGGAAGATTCAGCAGATGGTTCTTCCTCAGAAAAAGCTGAAGCGTGTTGATATTCCCGATTCTCATTGTCTGATTTGGAGGAAGATTCAGTAGATGGTAGGGAAAGAGTAACAGCATCAGCATCAGCATCAGCATCATCAGTGGCAGTGATAATGGAGGGAAGGGTCTCTGGGAGCCGA